TTTACTTATTCCTTAATTAAATATTTAAAAAATTATAACCACCAAGGAATAATTTGAGTATTTTGGGGCAAAAAAGCCAAGTTAATTAAAGAAGAGTACGAAATTGGGGATGAATTTAGCCTAACTTCTACTCATCCTTCCCCTTTTAGTGCTAAATACGGATTTTTTGGTTCTAAGCCATTTTCCAAAGTTAATAATTTATTAATTAGCAGCGGAAAAGAACCGGTTAATTGGTTAACCATCGAAAAACCGGAAATTAAGTAAACAAATCGAGTTGTGCCAACTAGAAAAACATTTAGTTAACTTACAAACTAATGAGCAACAAGCCCAAATTCTCCAACCCCCTTACCGCATACTTGGCCCTAGCAAAATAATCATCCAAGAAGTAGTCAACTTACTACAATCCACCCGACCAGCAGGAGAATTACACCAAAACCAAGAATTTACTAACTTTAAGATAGATTAAAAGTGGACATTTATTTTTTGTATTTATTTATCATCATTGCCTTCCGGTTTGCCTTCGTCATTTTTTTTTCCCTTTTTCTCAGGGGCAGGAAAAGGAATATTCACAAACCTGGTAACTTTTAACTTTCCTTTTTGTCGCTCAATTTCTCAGCGAATTCACCAAATATTTAAACCAAGCAGAATTAAAAGCAAAAATCAAGTAATAAAATGCGGTAATCAGTGTTTTCAGTCAATTTTTACCATACTAAATTTTTAAAATAATAAGGATTAGAACCAAAGTAATTTAGCACATTTTTTATGACAAAAGGCCAATAATTCGCCCCTTTAAATCTCCTAAGGGAATTTCGACCAAAACTTTGTCCCCTTCCATAATTCCTTTTCACCTTCTGTCCTTGCTTTTTAAGCGATTAGCGATATCAGCGGTAATTAAAAGATTGCGCTTAACCAATTGGACTTGAAAAGAATTGATGTTGTATTTTTTGACCACTTTTCCCTCTTCTTCTAAAAAAATTGCTTTTTTATTCATCATAATTAGTTAAAACCTCCGCTTTTTCTTTGCCCACTCAAATGGTATGTTCAAAATGAGCATTAAATTGACCCTGAGCAGAAAGCACAGTTCAGTTATTCGGGGACAATTTGATTTCGGCATTTCCAATTTGGACCAAGGGCTCTACGCAAATGGCCGTATTTTCTAGGATAACCACGCTTCGCTCAGAAGAAATTTTATAATTAGGAATGAAAGGCTTTTCGTGCATAAATCGGCCAATTCCGTGCCCGCCATATTCTTTTATTACGTGATATCCTTGGCCTTGCACATAATCTTCAATTACATTTCCAATATCTTGGGTAGTAGTAATATTAGGCTTGATACTTTCAATAACTTTTTGGAGCGCATTTTTGGTAACCGCAATTAATTTTTGTTTTTCTTTATCTTCTCCGTTATTAAGCAAAACAGTCATCGCAG